TATTTGTTTTGATTTTCATTTCGAAAAAGAAAATTAATTTTTAAAAAAATTTTTTTAACAGATTTGCACTGATGCCATTTTCTATATGTCTATGTGGAAATGACAGATCTTAGGTTAACAGAAGTTTAAAGGAAGTTTAGGGGCTGTGTCCTTCGAAGGACCAGGCCTGCCTTGTCTAGATGGGCCAGGTCCTTGGTGGACCACCAAGAACAGTGGCTGTGAATTTGGACGGCCTTCAGCTGTACTCTGGCGTACATCCTGTCGCAGTTAGAAAGTGATTAACGGTGATCAAGCATGTTCTGTTTGAATTCCAGTGTTTATTTTAGAAACTTTCATTTAAAAAACTGAGTTGATCTCAAAAATGACCTGGGCTGACCAGATGGTCGAGGAGACTGAGTCTAAGAGCCGGGCTTGACGAACGAGGAGCAGCTGAACGTCTCACCAGATAAGACCTCCTTCTCCCATCCATCAGTTCTTATCTTTAAAGACAACAGTGAAACTCACACAGTGATAGTCAGTATCAGTGTGTACCTCTGTGGATCCGTCTCTCATGTAGCGGATCACAGCTCCCTGACCGGTGACGATGCGACACAGTTCTTTGGAGAGGGGCGTGTCCTGGAGGACCTGAAAGCTCTGCTTCACCAGAATGCCTCTCTCCTGAGGTGAGCCACCTGGACACGAGGACGAATGCAGGTCACGAGCTGGAAACACGTTTACTGCAGCCATGTTAGTCACATTTAACTCAAAGATACAGGAGAGGAGAAGTCTGACCTTCTGTTTCCTCCCTCAGAAACTGCACCAGGAGCCCGTTAGGAACAGACAGATGAAGACCGTTGAAAGGACCTGACGGCAGAACTGACTGGACTTCAGAATCCTTTTAAAAAATGTTTTAAGAAATGTGTTAATAATTAAGTTTGTGTTATTTGTTTGTAAAATCCTGGACTCTGGAGGTCTGACCTGACTGGACTGGGTTTGTCTCCCGGGGCACTCCAGGTCTGTTCCTGACGAACACTGGTTTTCCTCAGGACCCACTAGAACATCCCACCACACACAAATATGTATTTGTTCCAGACATGGAGATTTTAAATGACTCCTGAACATTTAGCCTTCTAATAAATACAGGTTTAATCAGAACACGGTGTAGTCAGACCTGTATGTTCTCCTGTAGGTCCATAGGAACTGTAGGAGAGCTGGATTTTATTCTCAAGAAGTGCAGAGAAGGAGCCCTGCTTCACTTGTTTTCTGGCCTCGGCCTCAGGCTCTGAAACACAAACAGGTATTTCAAGATGCTCGTGGAACCCGGGGTTCTGCTTTGGTGCAGCTTTACCTMGACAGTCCTGCTTTGGAGGGAGGGTCTTGTCTTGTGTTTGAGACGGAGGCCCTGAATGTTCGACGACTCGGTTGACGTGTGTGAAGAAACGATGTCCGTCCTTCTTCACCGCTACTTTCATCAGGCTGGAGCCTGAAGTACAAACAACAGATTTGGAGCGAAAAGTGAGGACAGTTTAAATATTCAATAACTTACGTATAGCTTAGTTTCATTCCTCAATGTTGGTTGGGGTATTCTTCAGAAAGGTTTTTTAGTTTGTTGTGTTTTGAGATTTAAAAATTAAAAAGTACATATTTAAAGGGGCAATATCATGTAAAATCAACTTTTTTGAGTTTTATATCATGTTATAATGTTATACAC